AGTAGAAAAGAGTGGCAAGGTTGACAGAGGTGGGAGTAACATAGAAGGAAGGAAAATGATCAAAGTACATCATATGTATGTACAGAAACATCATAACTAAGACCCCTTTGTCAATTAAAATATACTAATTTTAAAACGAATCATATCCAGGATTTTTTTTAATTATAAGGGTTATGAGGATCTATTAATTTTCTGTGCTCTGATTATAAAAACATAAATAGGGCTGAAGAGATGGTTCTGTCGATAATGAGGCATGCGACTACTAGGATCTGTTCAAATCCCTAGTATCCACGTAATAACTTTTCAGACCTTCTAGATAGCTTTTAAGAAGGGAGGAAAGAACTCAAAAGATTACATTTACTGAAAGTTCAGCCAGCTGTATGTCCTTATTTGGTGAAATATCTTCAAGTAAAGAACAAATTAAGATTAAAGGAGAAAAGAAGATAAATAGTAAACAAAAATAAAATATATATCATCTTGCGTTCAGTAAGTGTTGGGGGGAAATACCAGCCTTGTGTCTGCCATTGCCTGAGGGTATCGCTGCATTGATATAAAGGATAGTTATCTGCAATAGAGGCACAGTCAAAGGTTGGTCTAGTTCTACTAGGGTTCTAGTCGAAGTGTTCAAAGTTGGCTTTTTATAAAGTTGGTGAGGTTTTTGCAAATTGAGAAATGTGCTTTTATGAAAGTCCCTCATTCGTTAACCTCTGCCATTTAAAAAGCTTGGGCCAGGGACTAAAGAGATGGCTGCTACTATTTCAGAGGACCTCTGTGGCTCATAGCCACTTGTAACTCTGGTTACAGGAGAACTGGGTCCTCTTTTGGACCCAGTGTGCATAATACAAACATGGTGTATACATCCACATAAATAAAAATAAATCTGAAAGAGAAAAGAACCAGGAGTACAGGTATTCTTGAAGCAGGAAAACAAAACTGATATAGTCATATTACCAAGGTAACAAAGACTTGTTGAGAATAAATTTGGCTGTAAGAATAGACAGGCTTCATGGAATAGAATAGAGAATTCAGAGATAAACTTCCATGAATACAATTACCTAATTCAAAGAGGCAATCCTGGGGCGTATTGGGAAAGCTGATCTGTTAAGTGCATATAATTGGGACAAATAGATATTTTCTTGGAAAAATTATTCTTTTGACTCTTGTTTTACATCAGTCAAAACTAAAGTCTAGATAAAATATGAAAATGCTTTGCAAGGAAATATTAAGGTCTATATTCAAGTAAGATGAAGGCATGGTCATTCTTAATAGGATACAGACAGTTATAAAATATAAAAAGGAAAAATTGGAAAATTGGAGTATATTAAAAATTTATGTTCTGCCAGGCGGTGGTGGCGCACGCCTTTAATCCCAGCATTTGGGAGGCAGAAGCAGGTGGATTTCTGAGTTCGAGGCTAGCCTGGTCTACAGAGTGAGTTCCAGGACAGCCAGGGCTACACAGAAAAACCCTGTCTCGAAAACCAAAAAAAAAAAAAAAATTATGTTCAAGAAGCTGGAGAGATGGCCCATATTACTCTTGCAGAGGACCCACGCTCAGTTTCTAGCACCCACATAGTGGCTCACAACTCCCTACAACTCCATTCCACGGTCACCTTCTGACTCTGTGGGCACCAGCCATGTAAATGTTGTACACATACATACATGCAGGAAAATCACTTATATACCTAAAATAAAAATGAATCCAAAAATTTTTAAAGCCACAAGAATCGTGTTGTTTTATATTTACCTAAAATTACATGTGAGAGAGGGAGAGAGACAGACAGAGAGGGAGAAGGAGAGGGAGAGAGAGTAAAAGAGAGAGTGCCAGAGTGTGTGTGTGTAGTTTCAGTGAAGTTTTGCCATTTTGGGTAATAATGCTCCCTGGAAGAGCCAAAGACTAACACAAATTCCAGGACTAGGCATAAGAAACCTCCCTTTGAGTTGCTGGCCAGCAGAGTTCAAGAGACTCTTCAAACAATATGGGCTGTTGCTGCTGTATTTGGTTACCTCCTAGAGGTTAGAAGTAAGTCCTGATTGCTAAAGACACCATGCACTTCGATATAGGTCTCAGCATTCAAGCTGGATCTGACCTGAAAACTTCCTTCCTGAAGACTAGCTTTTATAGAACATGAAGGTGCTATGCGATCTGCCAAGGGAGGAAACAATCAGTAGTCCTACCCAGCTTTGACACCTGTGAACCCCAACAATAGCCAACTTTGCATGATACCCAGAAAGGTAATAACCAACAGCTATCTAATTAGACTCAAGGTTTACTTGGAAGGAAATCATGCCTGGTACTGAAAACGTACCCAACTACCTGAGGTTAGTGAGGGCATTGATGTTAGAAGAGAGCCTACTACTACTATAATAAACCAGCATAACTTCCCAACAGCACTCTAAATACTCATCCTTATACTCACAGGGGAGTGGAGCTCCCACCTCTCCTCAAACAAGTTTCTCTTTCAGCTGATCGAGACCACTACAGAAAACCACAAGTGGTCAAAATGCAGAAAACAAGTGTTCATGGGGTCCCCAGCCCTCATGGATATATCTACAACACAATTCCTGTACCCAAGGCTTAGGGACCATCACAGAAGAGGGCAGAAAAAATCATAAAAGTCAGTGGGCCAAGAAATGTACTATGAGATTGTGTCTCCTAGAAATGAAAGGGAAGCTACACCCATATCTCAACAATATGGCTGTCTAAAGAAGTCCGAGACAATAACAGCACCAATGTTAATGTTGAAGGAGTAATTCTCATGAGATCCATCCCTAGACAAAGAACTGGAGAAAACTAATGGCTTCTGAGAGAGGGAGAATTAATATCTCTTAGGAATGAGCCCCTTAATTGACTCTCTAACACCAAGTTATGAGCCCAGAAATTATATACATCAAGCAACACTAAATGGATTTGGGAACATGAGACGAGTTAGAGAAAAAAGAAGGAATGGGAGAATGATGTAGTTATATATAAAGACTGTTCATACAGAGGGCATGCACAGATCGAAGCCAGATGGAGTCCCAGCACTCAGAGAGGAAGTGGACACAAGCCCCAATCCCTAACCCAGAAGCTATCTCCAATTGATAAAGAGTCTCATGGTGTATACAAACAACTAAGGACAGACCAGATGGCCAATACAAATGAACTCAATGACAGGCTCCTTATCTCATAAAGTTTTGTCTAGACATTATTTTTATTTATTAATTTTTAATTTTCCTTACAGATCTTTTACATATATAGAATGGTTTCCAGCCTTGTGTTTTTATGGGATTTTTCTGTGTGTGAACATGTGTGTCTGCATATACATGTGTTTATTGTGCTTTTTTTTGGCTCTTTTTCCTGTTAATTACTTTTTATTTTATTACTATTTTTAGATGCCTGTTTAGAATCTAAAAAGAGAAAAAGGGTGTAGATTTGGGTGGGTGGAGAGTTGAGTTGGAGGGGAAACTCTAATCAGAATATATTGTATAAATTTATTTTTAATTAAAAATACTTTATGTTTATCAGAAGACTTGGAGACAAAGCCTAAAGCATACATTTCTTGTACTCAGATATCCCTATGATTAGATTTTATAAATTAATTCTTAATTTAAAATGTGGATGAAAATCTTACCCAAATGAACTCTGGTTTTCATCTAGCCTAATTTCCTTTTGATTATTATTTAGTGTTGTGATTTTCATTAGTTGCTTTTAGAAAAGAATCTTACCTCTGCAGTGTCATAGTTCTAATGTTTAAGAATAAATTCTAGGGTGTGTATTATCTCAAACACTATTTTAAAAAATAAACAATCCAAGTCGAAAGGAAATTATAAAGAGAAGATACTTAAAATGCATATATGTAATGAAGGATTTATATTTAAAATATCATGAAAATTTCTTATCTATTAGAAAAGATAGATAGTTTATATGGGAAAACAGTCATCACCCAAAAGAATATAAGTAGCCACTCACATACAACTTCATTAATATCAATGTATATGAATCAAAATTGGTGTGGTAATGCCACATACCGTCCAAAATAGCCACAATGGAAAAGCCAAGTATTGGTGAGAATGTTAGTCAACTACTCTTAACTCATGTGCTGATAGGAGAATAAATCAGTATAATGACTAAAAAGTTATTTGACATTGCTTAAGGCTGAACCTGCATACACTTTTCATTTCAGTTCCTCTGTAGCCAACCCAAATGTGTAGAGAGGTTTCTGGAATTTTTTTTTCCTAAACTCAAATTATTTAATGAGTAATTTTGATATCTAATGGCTAGCAGTAGGCATGCAAAGATTATTCAATTCTTTATTGCTTAGCTTTTTCTTGAAATTTAGCATGTATATAGAAAGGCTTATAAATCTTAAAGCTTGATCTATTGGATAGTCAGACTGGTGGCTCTGGTCATGAACTTAGCATTGATGTGAAGAAGTGGAAGGCTGCCAGCATCCCAGAAGCTCCTTTTATGTCCCTTCCAGTGTTAGGCTCTATCTGCCCTAGCAACCAAAGACTATACTCTCTTCATTTCTGGCGCTGGGCATTAGTTTCTGGTCTTCAGTAGTATCATATACTAACAACCTTTGTCTGGCTTCTAGTGCTCAGAATTATGATTGTGAGCTGTCTGTGTGTTACTGCGTACAGCTGTAGTTTGCTTATTTTCACTGTTCTAGCCCACTGTGTTTTCATGCTACAACAAATTTATATATGGTCCTATCTGAGGGTCATTTGGGTAATTGTTAATATTTGGCTGTTATAAGTAAAGTTTTCTTTTCTTTTCTTTTCTTTTTTGCCTTGGTAATTTGTTTCCATTCTCTATAAACTCAGTTTAATTATTAAATCTGTTTCTATATATCTCCTTTAATTTTCCACATAGAGTATAAAGTATGTAAAGACAGCTTTTATTTTTCTGTTGCTTTATGCAGTGTTTTATACAAAATATTTTTTGTCTATATTTTTTAAATTTTGTACTGTTTTCTTCTTAAAATTATTTCTGGGTTCTTTATTTTCTTGTTTCCTAGATATAACAGAATTTCAACTTAAAGAAAGAAAGAAAAAGCGCCAAGATGGGTGAAAAGAAACCAGAGCCTTTGGACTTTGTAAAAGATTTCCAGGAATACCTGACACAGCAGACCCATCATGTGAACATGATTTCGGGATCAGTTAGTGGGGACAAAGAAGCAGAGACTCTTCAGGGAGGTAGACTTATTTTAATACTATTGAAAAGCTCACATTGGTAAAGGTGCTAATGTTCCTCTATAGCTCTCCATTCTGTGACCATTACTATGCAATAATGTAGATCATTCTTTTCTTTTTCTAGAAAGATACAAGGTATTTTCTCCCTTTTTAACATACAGACTTCTGCTATGATTTAATGTACTCTACGGAACTGTTTCAGTCTTGTTGAAAGGTTAGGGCATCTAAATCCCTTGTCTGTCTGTTCTTCATGTTGTTAGCTGACAGTCAATTCAAGGAACCCAGGGAGTTTGTCCATCAGGCAACGTGGATTGGACCTGAGCCTCAACTAGGGGTTTCTTCTCTTTAAGTGAAAGAAGAGAAACTAAATTAGATGAAGCAAACATCTGGTGAGCCTGCTAGAGATAGAGTTTCTGTGTTTGCAGATCACAGACACTGTTCTGAACCTAGCTCAGGGTCAGCTGAGCACCACCCATGGGCCTCATCTAACTGCTTTCCTGTCGTTTGCAGTCTGGAAATTGCTTTTGTACAATTAGAAATTATTGAAAATTAGGCAAAAAGAATGTAATAATACATGCAAATTATGTGAAATTTAAATTTCATTGTTGATAAATAAAATTTTATTGGAACACCTGCATGCTTACTTGACATGTTTGTACTACTGGTGATCAACATCTGTTGCATACATTAGGCAAGGGCTGTACAATGAGCTCCATTCACTCCCAGCTTGCTTATTGTCAATAGCTGCTTTTACGGTACAGCAGCAGAGTTGGGTGCTGTGATACAGACAAACCCACCTGACTTTAAATATTTACTACCTCAGCCTTGTAGAAAACATTTGCTGACCTCTGCCCTAGATCTTGTAAGCCATGTAGGGATCTTGAAGATGCAGGAACTGGCAGCAGTGATCAGGGATCACCCCCAGAGTTTTGTTAGAAAGGTAAGCACCAGTTCCTGTCAGGATCTAGTGATTCGGTTTATCAAAATGTTGAGCATCAGGGTCTTAGGAAAACAGTGGGAGAAAGGGAGACCACGAGTCTGGTCTCTCTACTTGGTTCCTTTTGGACCAATCTGCTAGTTTTGCCCAGGCCAGTAAAATGATTTCTGGCGAAGGGCAGAAGGAAAGGAATAGGGTTTGAACTGAGCATATGAGGACTGCCTCCTGGCATCAAGCTGAAGTCCTGTTCCCATGAAGAAGGAGGAATACAAATCTTGCCTCTTAATACTAATGTGAACAGACTCCAGGGCTGGGATTCAGAGGCCAGGGCATAGTTCCCAACATGTGTAGTTCCTAATTATGAGTACCTGTTCCTGCTGCTGCTTTATACAAAGTTCATATGTTCAGCCGAAAAGCAAGCACCCAGACATTTTAGTTTTGAAATCAGATACCTTGTTTCCTTGATTTGCTCGATTAGAATTCAAGGTCCTAAATGTAACTGACTATTACAGAATATCTGATAATTGTTTTTAGACAAAAAGAAATTGAGTTAGTGTTTTAGAACTGTAACAACTGCTAACTGAAGCTGTACTCAGGAGCAGTACTTAGACACTACATCTGTGTGTGACTGTGAACTCATACTTGAAGACTCTCTTTATTCCTCTCTACCTTACCTATTTTCTTCAAAAGCATGTAAGAGCTAGTAAATTTTTATTTGTAAATAATTTGAGACCCTCTTTAAAGGTTCTTAGAGTATAATTCTACTTTTGTATAAACATTGTCCCAGTTCAAGAAATCTGGATTGTTTTATGAATTAAACTCTTGGGCAGGAAACTATCAGTTTGTAGATCTTCTACCACGTGAGTCTAAAATGCTGAACTGAATCGATTCTGAGGTGCATGATTCCTTTTGCTTTTGTTTATAGCTGGAACAGATGGTGATCAAAATGGACTTGATCACCCATCTGTTGAAGTCTCCCTGGATGAAAACTCAGGAATGTTAGTAGACGGGTTTGAAAGGACCTTTGATGGGAAGCTCAAGTGTCGGTACTGCAACTATGCCAGCAAAGGGACGGCCCGGCTCATCGAGCATATCAGGATCCACACAGGTAATGGAGAAACAGCTGGAGGGGCCGTGGAATGCAAATCCACATAGTTTTAACTGTTCCAAACAAGGTTCATGAAAGTTTGTTTCGTAATAACTCCATTTTTTTTTAAACAAAGCAGTGGCTTAAAGAAATACAAATACTGGAAACAGACTTCTTGGAGAGCTTGATCATCCTACCCATTTTTCTGCTTGATCTACATAGTCTTTATCTTTCTGTTGTCAGGTTTGAGAGGTTATTACTAAGGTTAATGTTTTATCTTTTTCTTCACAATAACGTTTAAATTATAGAAAATAAAAAAGGCTGTACAGTTATAGAGTGTACTTGCTAAACCCAGGTCTCTCTTAGCCACCCTTTGAAGAAACCTTCCAAAGTATGCCTTGCCCACACCCAAGCCCAGACATCTTTTCTGTGTGCTCCATGCCAGTCTGTGCTTCTTTATTACATTATGGTGGCCTGAAAGCTTCCTGAGGCCATCCAGAGGCCCTCTTTGTACCCACTAGAGCTAGCATGCAGTCTGGAACATGGTAGGTGCTCTGTCCTTGTCAGATGAATGACTGTCTTACATTCTAAATGATAGTTTTACATATTTGGAGTGCTTGGTCTTTCTGAACTAGAAGAATAGAAAAGTGCAGGAGAAGCCTTGGCCCTGGCAATTTCATATTTGAACCAGGAGTTCATTTTGATTTTTGAACTTTCTTTTGCAGGATGGGGGGTGGTGGTATTTTTTTTTTCCTTGAAAGATAGATCTGTGAACATATACTTTGAAACATACTGTTGATTAAAAATATTTTGGGGGATGGCTGTTTGAGACAGGGTTTCTGTGTGTAGCCCTGGCTGGCCTTGAACTCACAGAGATCTACTTGCCTCTGCCTCCTAAGTGGTGGGATTAAAAGCGTGTGCTGCGACTCCCTGGCTGATAAAATCTTTATCTCTTTATAACGTGGGGAATCATATTTTTATTTTTCCCCAAGTGTCACTGAAGTTGTAATGTTTTGATACTAAATGATTCTAAATATATGTCACAAGTTATTGCTAATGAATTCTTAAGCTTTATTTCAGATCTTAGGTTTCTTTACAGATCTTACAAACCTAATATGCAAGTATGGATTTCTGCAATTTTATTTTTTGTATCAGTTCTCACATCCAGTGGACAAACATGAAAAGTCCTATATGTGAGCTACTCCTGCAGTTTCTTCCATGTTTCTCTCTTACACAGGCGAGAAGCCTCACAGGTGTCACTTATGTCCTTTTGCATCTGCTTATGAGCGCCATCTGGAAGCCCACATGCGCTCTCACACTGGGGAAAAACCATACAAATGTGAATTGTGTTCCTTCCGCTGCAGTGACCGAAGTAACCTGTCCCACCATCGAAGGCGCAAACATAAAATGGTACCAATTAAAGGTACCAGGTCTTCCTTAAGCAGCAAGAAAATGTGGGGGGTTTTACAAAAGAAAACAAGCAATCTGGGGTATAGCAGAAGAGCACTAATCAACTTAAGTCCACCTTCCATGGTGGTCCAGAAACCAGACTACCTTAATGATTTTACCCACGAAATCCCAAATATCCAGACGGACTCCTATGAAGCTATGGCTAAAACTACACAAACTGCTGGCCTGCCGAGGGACCCCCAAGAACTCATGGTTGACAACCCTTTGAATCAGCTCTCTACTTTAGCAGGACAGTTGTCCAGCTTGCCACCAGAAAACCAAAACCCTGCCTCCCCTGATGTAGATCCCTGCCCTGATGAAAAGCCTTTCATGATTCAGCAGCCCTCTGCCCAAGCAGTAGTCTCTGCTGTGTCAGCAAGTATTCCTCAGAGCTCCTCCCCTACAAGTCCAGAGCCTCGGCCGTCGCATAGTCAGAGGAACTACAGTCCAGTGGCAGGGCCCAGCAGTGAACCAAGTGCCCACACCAGTACTCCCAGCATAGGAAACAGCCAGCCAAGCACTCCAGCTCCAACCCTGCCGGTCCAGGATCCTCAGCTTCTGCACCACTGCCAGCACTGTGATATGTACTTTGCAGACAATATCCTTTACACTATTCACATGGGGTGCCATGGGTATGAAAATCCTTTTCAATGTAATATATGTGGATGCAAATGTAAAAACAAGTATGATTTTGCTTGCCATTTTGCAAGAGGGCAACATAACCATCACTGAACACAATCAACATTGTTCTCACTTGGTTTGGCCTTTTGGGAGTTTGTAGTTTGGTTTTTAGTTTGATCATCCCTAATAAGGTATATACTAATTTAAAATTTATACATTCTATTCATAAAATAGAAATTTGATAGTAAAAAAAGGTTTTGTTAACTTTTCATAAAAGTCTGGTCAGGGTTATTTATGCATTAGATAGTTAGATGCATTGATGTCTTTTTCACTTAGACCCATGAGAGTCGAAGTACAGTCGACTAGTCCATAAGGACTCCCAGGGTTGTCCGTACTCCTGATGCTTCAGTATACACATTACAGTTAAACATTCTTCCTGCCATATTTCAAAATGGCACAATAAACTTCTTATAGAATCTTTTATAACATTTCAGTGTTTATAGACAAACTGCCTTTAAGTTTGCTCTTAATTGAAATGCTGTTTTCATTCACGTAACTTAAGTTGCATTAGTTTCATTACAACCAAAACCAGTAGTTATTGTGTAATAAATCTTTCTCTTCAAGGGGAAGTATAAAATAATTCCTTTCAAATTTAAATTATAAAAATGAAAGTCTTGGAAGTTGAAATTTGGGGTTAAATTGAACATTGTGTTTTGGTATTTGAGATATCTGTTCATTTAATGTATAAACATGTTAGTTTTTAGTTTTTCATTTATATATCATATATTTATATACTTGGAGTATTATTTTAAAGCCACAGGTAAATATACTAGAGTGCTAGATGCCGTTTTCAATATGACTCTTTCATTTAAATTCTGCATTCACCTATTACTGGTGTCAGGTAAGATTGACAACCACACTGATTATTTTATTCTTCCTAGTCTTTGATGACCAAAGAGGAAGTGGAACTCATCCATCTTATTAAGAGATGCTTCAAAACAATCTCCAAAGTTTCCTTTTCTGCCTTCTGTACATTTATTGCCCATAATTTCCAAGAAGGGTCGATCTAGAAACCCAGAGAAATGTAATAGTGAGGAAACAGCTACAAAATCGCAAGAGAGCATGCCCAAATAGAGCCTACTTTCCTCTGCAGAGCAGAGCAGGCCATGGAAGTCCTCCCTGTGAGTCTTCATGGACAGAGACGGTGCGATAGTCACCACAGTGGGCAAGGATAAAGAGTGAGAGTTATTATGAAGCACATTTAAATGTGACATTTAATTTACTTAGAATTAGAGTGGTTCATTTTATATAGGAAGCCATTATTTTTGTATCGTGTAATAAGTAGCTTACTCTGAAGAGAGCCTGGCAAAACAATAAAACATTGTCACTTACTATTGGTTTCTGTGTACTTTGCAAATTTTTCATTTTTATTTGGTTAATATCTTGAAAATATTCCCAATTGGCTTCTTAAAGAAATACCCTGTCAAGCATTTATTAACCAAAAATCACCTCTTACAGTAAATAAGAGGGAAATATTGAGTGTCTACCCATGAAGCCCAAGTGCCCTGTTAATGGATCTGTGCCCTCCCTCCCTGTGCTAGAAAGCCATTCCGAGGGTGCCTGTGCTTACATAGCCAGTCTTGGCTCATCCCGACTGCACTGTTAAAGCGCAGCCCCAGAGACACTTTCTCGTGTGACCCTAACTTTCTAGTGATTTTGGTCTGTTGCTTAAATCATTCACTAGATTAGTTTCTCACAACACTTTCCAAATACATAACTCGACTGTTGTGCTTATCAGCTGCCAGAAAGAAACAGGTTGTAGTTTGGAAACTGCTGTTTTTTAAAGTTTGATTCAATTCAAAGCAATACTTCCAAACAGACAGTGAATACTTCCCGAAAGAGGAAGAAGCCCAGTGCACGGCTGCGCACCTGTACTCCCAGCTGCTTGGGAAGCAGAGGCAGGAAGAGTGCTAGAGCCCAGGAATTCCTGCCAGGCCCGCCAGGCAACACCGCAAGCCACAGTCTCAAAGGCCAAACAGCCTGAAAGGGCTCCCCTCACAGGCAGCTTTATCACCTACACATCTGGGCCAAACAGTGACACGTGCATTTTTCCTAACAACTAAAGATGAATGTTCTGAAGGTACATTTCATTTTACGTATGGAAAAGACTTTTCATAATTACAGACTAGAAGGAAAAAAATCCTAATTTTCCAATAACATAAAGAGCACAGTTGGTCTTCCAAAGGTGTCGATGCATGAAGCTACAAGTCCTTCGAAATGCACTAAAATTTTGAAGCAAATCTACCTTAGAAACTTTTTTGAAATTGTACTTTTAAAGATTTAGGATTTTACTTAAATATTCTGAGTTAAATTCTGTACTAGGAAAGATGCTGGATTCTTTCCTTAAATACTAAATATGTTCCTCATTTTATTTTTAACCAAATGTTTTATAGAAATGAGTTGAGAAAAGTTTAACATGCACTATTTATAGTACTTTGCCAATAACAGGCAATGTTCTGAAACTAAATTTATTTTTGTTCAGTGAACATGAGTTTAGATTTTTAAAGTTGGTAATTTATCTCCACTAATATTTTTTTAAAGAAACTGTGAAGAGATTAACAGAATAATTTTATTTCAGATTTTACTAATGTAGTATGTAGCTACAACTTCTTGACATTCAAGTGAAGACTAGACTTCTGTTTTGAAAATTTTCCATTGGGTAGTTTCAGTGGTTTCATTTTAGAAATGTGTTTGCTGTTCATCTGCAGATGTTTGACAAAGGGAATATTACTAAAAAGAAAAAAATACTTATCAAATGAAGAATTGTTAGAAAAATTTAAATTCCCTGCTGAAGACATTTTTGTCAGTCTTAGGGGGTAGGTATTTGCTTTCTAGAACTTGGTTTTGTTGATACCTGGATGTACAGAACATGTTTTCTATGCAAGGCATAAGTCTTGCATTACAGTTGTAAGATATATTATATTGTTTAGGGATCAAGAAAGCAATCTAATGCTGAAGTAACTATAGTATGTAGTTCCTATTGTGAATAATGCTTTGCTTTTGTAATGTATGAATAAAAAAATAACACTTTCTAATGAGTTTTGTTTTTTGTTTTTTTTTTAAACTAGAATCAAATTATTATTTCTTTTAGTAATTTACAGTACATAAAAATGTTAATAAAGAGCCAGGCAGTGGTGGCGCATGCCTTTATCCCAGCACTTGGGAAGCAGAGGCAAGCGGATTTCTGAGTTCGAGGCCAGCCTGGTCTACAGAGTGAGTTCCAGGACAGCCAGGGCTACACAGAGAAACCCTGTCTCAAAAAACCAAAAAAAAAAAAAAAAAAAAAAAGTTAATAAAGGATTTTATGGCTGGCTAGTTTGAATTTCTAGAATCCCTTATAGAAAGAGGTATTATAAGTTTAGAACAAAAGAGTTCTATAGATCTAAAACTCCTTTCTAATTGTTATGGTTTGAATGACAAATGTGCCCCTGAGGCTTTTCAGTCTGAACACTTGAACAGTTGGTTACATTGTTTCAGAAGGTTGTAGAACCTTAGGAATGTGGTACCTCTTTGGTGGAAATAGTCCCTAGTCCATGAAGACTCCCTCTGATTCTGGTCTAGAGCTCTCTGCTTCTTAATCCACAGTGGGAGAAACAACCACCACAAGATCCTGTCCCCAACCCTTGTATACCTCCTGAAACTGTGAGCCCAAATACATCTCTCCTTCAGTCAGTGGTTTTCTGTCAGGTATTGTGGCATCCTTGTATGCTGGGAAATACATTTCTTTTATTCAGATCAGTTTAGGCTGCTGTACCCTAGTACATGGTACATCAGTGAGGAAGGCTGCCTCATATACTCAGTTATCTATGTCGATTCAACAAGTAGCTCACTGAAGTAATTTCTGGCATGCAAAATGAAATAGACATTTTGGATTGTTTTTTTTTCCCATGTTCAGAGTGGTCTTTAGCAGGTCATAGTATTGGTTTAGAAAACACCCAGCCATACAAAATTGTTTGCAAAAGTTTACCCAAATCAGAAATTTGACTAGAAATTCAGAAAGTTTAATGTTGCTTTGAAAAATACTTCTGCACAATAGTATCTCTTTCCTTACCAAAAGAAGAAATAACATCTGATAAGTCAGTGGTTTGCTGAAAGCATGGATATTTTCTGTTTCCTTGTCTTAGATCTTCTAAAACGTCTGCTTTGAGCTTGTTAAGTTCTTCTGCTAGTTGTTTCAAGTTATTAAGAGACATTTGTTCATCTAAAATAAAACATATATTAACATTATTCCTGTAAGTCAGTCTGGACTGCCTACTGCCATCAGTCATTTGATTCCATCAAACAGGGCAGATGCTCCAATAAGCAATTAGGAGGCATTTATAATAGTTTATAGATAAGAAATTACAATAATGTGATCTAGAAGAGGCATCTAAAATAACAGCCACAAGGAGTTAGGGCTAGTATTTGCTCTGATGTGTTTGAGTAAAAAAAAAAAATGAACATGGAAGAATATGTATTTTAAAGATTTTATTTATTTTTATATTATGTACTTGAATGTTTTTTCTGTTTGTATGTCTGAGCACCACTGGTATGCCTAGTGCTCACAGGGGCCAGAAGAGGGCATAAGATCCCCCATTACTGGAGTTACAGATGGTTGTGAGCCACCATGTCAGTGCTGGGCACTGAACACAGGTCTTCTGCAAGAATAGCAAATGCTCTTAACTACTGACCCATCTCTCTAGATCCCTAGAAGGATGCTTTTTACATATTTTCATTATGTATCACTGGCTGGCCTGGAATTTGCTATGTAGGCCAAGCTGACCCTAAACTCACATAGATGGCATGCTTCTGCTTCTCAAATGCCAAGATTAAAGGTTTGCCACAGTAGGTTATTTTTGAGCCGAGATACCTAATTTACTATCTTTTCCCTTGAGAAATAAACTGACAACTTGGTTTTTTGAAGCTGATAAATAATACATTTGAACAGTTGTCCAAAGTAACTTTTTATGATGACAGAAATGTTCTACCTGGCATGGCCATATGGGAAGTGTTACTGAGCATCTGAAATTAGCTTTATTGAGATATAACTCACCATAAATGTACCCATTGAAAATGTAATGGCTTAGCTCTCAAAGTGGCACATGCTTTTAACCCCAGCACTGGGAAGGCAGAGGCAGTTGGGTCTGTAAGTTCATGCCAACCTGGTCTACAAGAGTTCCAGGACAGCCAGAGCTACTTACTTAGACCCTGTCTCAAAAAAACAAAACAGTATTTTTTTAAAGATTATTCACATATGTGCAATCATCACCATAGTCAATTATAGAACATTTTCATAACTTAAAAGCATAACCTGGATCCCCCGACACTGATAGTCACCCTTCTCAACCCTACTTCCCTATCCCAACGCACTACCCCTATCCTTTCTGCCCTGATTTTCCAGTTCTGGGTGTTCACATACCCTTGCAGTTTGGATTTTTACAAGGTTCCCCATGTCCTATCCTGTATCAGTATTCTAGTCTTACTTATAGCTAAATAACATTCCATTATATGGGCAACCACATTGTATTTACCCATTTATCAGATGATGGAGAGTTGGGTTGTTTCCACCTTTTAGCTGTTCTGAATGGTTATGTTATAAATAGCTTTGTATCAACATTATAATTTTTTCTCGATCCTACCACCAAAGAGCAGAATAGCTGGGCCACATGGTAACTACACTGAAAGAACCACCTGGCTGTTTTCAAAGCACATACGTCATTTTATGTTTCCACCAGTAGAGGATTCTGATTTGTCCACACCCTCAACAAGTCTTGGACCCCTCATTCTGGCCATTCTAATGGCTGTGAAGCAATATCTCCCATGGTTTTGACTGGTATTTTCATTTAAACATGTTTTCATTTAAATACTGGCCATCTCTCTTATCTCCCTTGGGAGAAAATGTCTGTTTAGATATTTATCCATTTTAGATTTGGGTTACCTGTGCGTTACTGAGTGGTAAAGATTTCTCTAAATATATTTGTATGTTCACGAGACATTTGCAAATGTTTTACACCATCTGTGGGCTGCCACCTTACTTTCTCGATGGCAAAGAAACGGAATTTTTTAGTTTTATTCAAGCACACATTTAGAAACCAATACCAAGTCCCTCCAGTAAAGTCTCTATCTTTCCAGTAGGTGGGAATGGTGAATGATTTGGCATAAGACAGAATAAGAAGCGAATGGCTGAGAAGAAACTAGAATGATTTCTGCTTTGTTCTAATTATATGGCCGTTTCTGTTCTGACCCTCTTAGAATTCTTGGATTGTAATTCATTAATGAGTGACAACGGGCACTTTTCTAAAATAAGAAAATAAAACATTCCATTAACTATGGGGATGCGTTTCTGAAGCTTGTTTCCACATGTGCCTGAGTTTATACACTACATTACACAGTTTACAGCATATGCTCATGGATAAAGAGAGTCTGAGAAACATGTTATGGTTAATACACTGTGGTGGTCAGTGTCCCCGGCTTTCATGAAGGTGACAATAAAGACAGGGGCCCAACAACAGACTGGGTCAGAATCACCTTCTTTCCAGGATGCCCTCACCTTGGGAGAAGTACTTGATTCACTGTGAACCTCCATTTCCTATTTATAAAATTACACCCACTATATATGGTTATAAAAAGTGAGTATAAAACATTTAGCACATCAAAGGAGTTAATGCGCTGTTGTCTTTTTTTTTTTTTTTTTTTTTTGGTTTTTTGAGGCAGGGTTTCTGTGGGTAGCCCTGACTATCCTGGAACTCACTCTGTAGACCAGGCTGGCCTTGAACTCAGAAATCCACCTGCCTCTGCCTCCCAAGTGCTGGGATTAAAGGCATTCGCCACCACTGCCCAGCATCTTTTTAAAAACAAATTTTAAACACAGCAAAGAGTTAAATGTTCAAGACCTAAAGCAACTATTGAAAAAGCTATAGTTAACCACATGTCTGAAATATGATTACTTATTTTTAAGTATTATTCATATTTATAATACAGTGACCTTGTTCAAATCCCATGCTAGTCTGGCCCCTGACCCTGGACTCCCCTTAACCATTAAGTCACTTCTCCAGCACCCTCATTACTCTCAAAAATAAATCTACCACTACTTCAGGGGACTTATATGTATCCACATAATTACCTGTTTGTCTGTCTCTGCACTAGAATGTTCTGCTTCCTATTGATTCCCTAGCGGCAAACGCTACACTGGAATACATGATGCAGATGCTGATAGAATAAATCTGTCTGGTGTCAAGGAAGTGGCAGCAAGAGAGAGCACCCCAGCAGCTAAACCGCTCAGAACTAAGTCAGCGTACCTTTGGCTTCCCTCATCGTCTGAGAGACGGTTCTTCGGAGTATCTCATCAGCTTTATGAAGGATGTTGGTAGAACAAATAATTCTGTCAGTTTCCTGTGTAATTTAGACATGTTACTAGGAATAGTTTATAAAAGGAATGGCCAAGATACAGACTAACTTGAAGGGACCAAAAGAAAAGCGATAGTGGTTTTCTGCTCGTTTTATCTCACAGATCTCAATGTATCATGTCCAGTTGTGAAGTGTTGAATGCTGTTGAGTGTGTAATAGCTGGCTTGCTAGGAATTAAAACTTCCTCCAGCCTATATGTAGTTGTTTCTGTGCTTTAACGGTATAAGCACTTCCACCTTGGTCCATTTGAAGTCCCCAATGTAAGGCTCTAACATTTCTGGACATTTACCATGAGCTAGCCAGGACAGGCTTGGCAGCTCCCTGATTGGATGTCAGAAGCCAAAGGCTGGTGCAGTGATACAGCTAACAGACCAGTTTTCCCTTTTCTCTTGCTACCATCAGCTCAAAAAGTCTCCCTGCAAGACAGTTACTCTTTTTCATTTGCAAACCAAGTCTAACTGGAATACTTACCTTTTGTTCCGTATTATCCTCAACACATTTTATGGGATTTTCCAAAGCAGTAAGCAACAAATCAGTCACCTCCAGGCTACAGAGAAAGTGAGATAAAGTATAAAAAAATCTTTCTGTAAGACATTTTTAAAGAACTTGCAATAATACTAGGTTGAACTCCAGATAGGAAAACTGCTGTCCT